AGTCTGGAGGAGGAGCAGGAGCTCTTATACTGGGGTGTGGCCCGACGATGCGGGCCGGGACGAGGAGAAGAAGGAGGAGGAGGACGAGTGATAACCCAGGATTCGTCAACGATATTGCAATAAACCTTCCTTCCAAGTCTTCTTCCTAAGCCCCATACAAGGATGCATGTTTACAGAAGGAAGTGTCCGTTGGAAGACAACCGTTTCAAAATTCAGAGCTGTGCCAGAACACTGTTCCTGAGTCACCGTTGATGTTGCGTCTTGACGATCCTGAATCGTGCCAGAACACCATTCCTGGGACTTCACCGCAAATCAACGTAACTCTTGCACCCTGGCAGCCACCATACATATGGAGACAGTTATCCTTGAAACGAATGTGCGAAGCGCTAAGGCGAGGGCAACATTTTGAAAACGGCCCGCCCTCCATCCGTGAAGCTTTGCTATTTAGTAAGACGACCACGCGTGGCGCTAAGGCAAGAGCCACATTTTCAAAAAGGCCCACTGTCCATCCGTGCGTCCCTTGCATTATTTTGAGACGAATGTGCGCGGCGCAAAAGGTAACCACATTTCGAAACTGGCCCGCCCCCCCCCCATCCGCCAAACTCTTTTATTTTTCCAGACGAATGTGTGTGCGCGGTGCTGAGGAAGACGAGGAGGAGGAGGAGGAGGAGGAGGAGGAGGAGGAGGGGGAGGGGGAGGCGGAGGAGGGGGAGGAGGAGGAGGGGGCGAGAGGAGGAGGAGGAGGACGAGGAGGAAGATTAGGAGGAGGAAGATGAGGAGGAGAAGAAGGAGGAGGAGGAGGATGGGAGAGGAGGAGGAGGAGGAGGAGGAGGCGGAGGAGAAGGAATGACTAGGAGGAGGAGGAGGAAATGGAGGAGGGGAATGAGGATGAGGATGATGATGATGATGATGATGATGCTGCTGATGATGATGCTGACAATGATGATGCTGCTGATGCTGATGCTGCTGATGATGGTGTTGGTGATGGTGATGGTGATGTTGATGATGATGATGATGATGATCGTGATGGTGGTGCTGATGATGCTGCTGATGATGATGCTGATGCTGATGAGGACGACGACAATGGTGATGATAATGCTGAGTGTGATGATGATGCTGCTGATGATGATCAGGATTATGATTCTGATGATGCTGCTGGTGATGCTGCTGATGATGATGCTGATGACGATGATGATGCTGATGCTGATGGTGCTGATGATGATGGTGGTGATGATGTTGATGCTGCTGTAATGATGATGACTATTGTGATACTGATGATAATGATGGTGATGGTCATGGTGATGCTGATTATTGATGGTGTTGCTGCTGAGGATGCGTCTGATGATGCTGATAGTGATAGTGCTGCTGATGCTTATGATGATGATGCGGCTGGTGAGGCTGATGATGGTGATGATGATGTTGATGTTGATGTTGATGCTGATGATGATGACGACGACGATGATGATGATGCTGCTGATGATGCTGATGTTCATGTTGATGTTGCTGCTGATGATGATGATGATGCTGCTGATGATGATGTTGCTGCTGGCAATGCTGCTGATGGTGATGATGATGATGATGATGATTAAGCTGATGTTGATGCTGGTGATGATGCTGCTGATGATGATGATGATGATGATGGTGATGGTGATGGTGATGCTGCTGATGATGATGAGGAGGAGGGTAAAGATGATGATAATGATAATGATGATGGTGGTGGTGATGATGATGATGATGCTGATTATGCTGCTGATGCTGCTGCTGCTGCTGCTGATGATGATGATGATGATGATGATGATGATGATGATGATGAGAATGATGCTGATGATTCTGGTGATGAGTAGGAGGAGGAGGAGGAGGAGGAGGAGGAGGAGGAGGAGGAGGACAAGCAGGAGGAGGACAAGCAGGAGGAGGAGGAAATGGCGGTGGAGGGAACATCGGACGATCAGGAGGAGGCTGATGGAGGAGGGAGGAGGAGCAGGAGCAGGAGAAACACAAGGATAACGATTTGGACACGGATAATATGAAAGAGCAGGAGGAGGAGGAGCAGGAGGAGGAGGAGAAAGGGGAGGAGGAGGAAACGGAGGATGGTGAGGATGAGGAGGAGGATGAGGAGGAGGATGAGGAGGAGGATGAGGAGGAGGAGGAGTAGCAGCTGGAGGAGGAGGAGGTGGGAGGTGGAGGAGGAAGTGGAGTAGGAGGAGGACCAGAGTAAGCCCAAGAGGCGTCACAGATGTTGGAATAATCCCTCCCTCCATGCTCCCTCTTCATAGTCCCTACGGCTGTTCATTTCCACTGAGGGAACTGCCTCGTTCGAAGAGAATCGTTTGACGACCCTGAAGCATGCCAAAACATTGTTTTCTGGATTCCAACTCCACGGATCAACTGGACTGTTGCGCCTTGACGATCCTGAATCGTGCCGGAGCGCCACTCTTTGGACTTCAGCACCGCGGGTCAACGTAATTGTTCCGCCCTCGTAATCTTGAACCCTTCCGACACCAGTTCTGGTACGTTGATCATGGGAATCAGTGAGTACAGTTTTAGAAACGGATGTGCGCGGCGCTAAAGCGAGAGCCACTTTTGAAAACCACTCGCCGTCAATGCGTGAAACTCTTGCAAAGTTTGAAAACGAACATACGCGGCGCTAGGGCGAGAGCCACTCTTTGAAAACCACCCGCCCTCAATGCGTGTAACGCTTGCAAAGTTTGAAAACGAATGTGCGCGGCGCTACGGCGAGGCCAGAGCCACATTTTGAAAACCACCCGCCCTCAATCCGTGACACTTGTTGCAAAGTTTGAAAGCGAATGTGTGCGGTGCGAAGGCGAGGCGAGAGCCACAGTTTGAAACCTACCCGCCCTCAATCCGTGACACGTGTTGCAAAGTTTGAAAGCGAATGTGCGCGGTGCTAAGGCGAGGCGAGAGCCACATTTTGGAAACCACCCGCCGTCAATCCGTGAAGCTCTTGCAAAGTTTGAAAGCGAGTGTGCGCTGGGCTGAGGCGAGAGCCGTAATTAGAAAACCACCCGCCCTCGATCCGTGAAGCTCTTGCAAATTTTGAAACGAACGTGCGCGGCGCTAAGGCGAGAGCCACACTTTGAAACCCACCCGCCCTGAATCCGTGAAACGCCTGCAGAGTTTGAAAGCGAATTGCGCGGCGCTAGAGAGTTACATTTTGACAGCCGCCCGCCCTATTCGTGAAAGCGAGAGCGCCTTCATGTGGGTCATGAATGATGAGGCAGTCTCAGGCGAAACGCCAGGACAAACGCCCAGCCCGCCCTACAAGCTGGCCTGGGGGTGCGACGGGGAGAAGTTATGTATAAGTTAAGGGAATGGGGGGGACCAGGAGGAGAGGAGGAAGGTGTGACGAGGAGGAGGAGGAGATGGGAGGAGGAGGATGGGAGGAGGAGGAGGAGGAGGAAGAGCAGGAGGAGACGGAGGAGGAGGAGGAGGAGGCGACGGAGGAGGAGGAGGAGGAGTAAGGAGGATGAGGATGATAATGACATGGATGATGAAGATGACGACGACGAGGATGATAATGTTGATGATGATGCTGATGTTGATGATGCTGCTGCTGATGATGATGACGATGATGATGATGTCGGTAATGGTGGTGCTGATGTTGATGATGATGCTGATGATGACGATGATGAAGATGAGGATGATGATGCTTGCGATGATGGTGACGGTGACGGTGATGGTGATGATGATGATGATGATGATGATGATGATGATGATGATGGTGTTGATGTTGATGATCATGATGATGACGATGGCGATGATGACGATGACGATGATGGCGACAACGATGAGGAGGAGGAGGCGGAAGAGAAGGAGGATGGTAAGGAAGATGAGTAAGGAGGATGATGACGATATTGACATGGATGCTGATGCTGATGATAAATCATGATGATGATGATGGTGATGATCATTATGCTGATGACGACGACGAGGATGTTGCCGATGCTGATGATGATGCTGATGATGATGCTGATGATGATGATGATGCTGTTGGTGATGATGATGTTGTTGATGATGATGATGCTGATTATGATGATGATGCGGCTGATGATGCTGGCGATGACGATGATGAGGAGGAGGATGATTGTGAAGATGGTGATGATTATGTTGATGGCGATGGTGATGATGATGCTGCTAATGATGATGACGATGCTGATGATGATGACGACGATTACGATGATGATGATGATGATGACGATGATGATGATGATGATGATGATGATATCGGTGATGATGCTGCTGCTGATGATGTTGATGCTGAACATGATGGTGATGCTGATGATGATGATGACGATGGTGAGGATGGTGATGATGATTGTGATGATGGTGATGACGATGACGATGCCGATGCCGATGATGCTGATGATGCTGATGCTGATGCTGATGCTGCTGATGCTGATGCTGCTGATGCTGATGCTGAGGATGCTGATGCTGAGGATGCTGATGCTGATGCTGATGCTGATGATGATGACGCCGATGATGATGATGATGATGATGGTGATGATGATGATGACGACGATGATGATGATGATGATGATGATGATGATGATGATGATGATGATGACGACGACGATGACGACGACGACGACGATGATGATGATGATGATGATGATGATGATGATGATGATGATGATGATGATGATGATGATGACGATGACGATGACGATGACGATGACGATGACGATGATGACGAGGACGATGGACGATGAGACGAGGGACGAGGAGGAGGAGGAGGAGGAGGAGGAGGAGGCGGAAGAGGGGGAGGAGGAGGAGGAGGAGGAGGAGGGAGGAGGAGGAGGAGGGAGGAGGAGGAGAGGAGGAGGAAGGAGTAGTGGGAGGAGGAGGAGGAGGAGGAGGAGGAGGAGGAGGAGGAGGAGGAGGAGGGGATGCTTCCAGGAGGCTCCAGGGTCTCCGCCTGAGCTTCCTCGGAGGCCCCGGCTCTGGAGCAGGCCCCGCTTCCTTGCCTGGGTAAACCGTGGTAGGCTGGCGCGAGCGTGGCCGACGTCGACATCTTCGAGATCAACGAGGCTTTCGCCTCGCAGGAGCGCCGCGGGGCGGGAGGACAAGGAGGGCACATACGAGGGGGGGGGGGCGGGAGGGGGAAGGGGTAGGGGAGGGGGTAGGGGGAGGGGGGGAAGGGGAAGAAGGCGGAGGACGAGGAGGAGGAGCAGGAGAGGGAAGAGGAGGAGGAGGAGGAGCAGGAGCAGGAGCAAGGAGGGGGCGGCGTGACGGAGAAGGAGGAGGAGAAGGAGGAGGAGGAGGAAGGAGGAGGAGGACGACGACGACGGGAAGAGGGGGGGAGAGGGCAGGAAGGGGGAGGGGGCGGAGGCATGGAAGAGAAACGGGGGCGGAGGGTTGAGAGAAGGAAGGGGGAAAGTGAGTGCAGTGGAGGAAGAGGGACGAATTAGGGGCAACGATTGGCGCGGGACAGGCTCAGGGGGAATCGTATCGACCCACAATCGCCCATTCATCGCCGGTAGGGGCCCGATAGCCCACCCCGCCCAGGCACGTGCGGTTTCGCTATCGGGGGCTCATCGCCGATTTATCGGCGATGTGTCGCCGATTCCAGGTAGATGTTTCCCCTCCTGTGCCAGTCACCCCTTTTGTCATCGTTGCCCCTCAACGGCGGTGAGTGGAGAAGGAGGAGGAGGAGGAGGAGGAGGAGGAGCAGCAGGAGCAGCAGGAGCAGGATCAGGATCAGGGGCAGGGCAGGATCAGGAGGAGAAGTCTAAGTAGCCTTCCTCGATATCCGTGAGGGCTTCGCCCCATGCCGCCGGCCCCCTGTCTCGGACAATGAGAGATGCAAAAGCTAAATCATGCGGTCTGGGCGCCGCCGTGAAGCAGCGTCGGGACCTGTTTTTTTTCGACCCTGACCCCGCCGATCTGCGTGAGGGGTGCCACCGAATTTCAGGAATGTTGCACATGCTATTGTTTTTGTTGACTCTGCACTGCGGATCTGCGAAAGGGGTGCCACCGAATTGCAGAAATGTGGCACATCCCCTGTGTTCTTTTAGAGCCTGGCCCCGCCGATCTGCGTGAGGGGTGCCACCGAATTTCAGAAATGTTACACATCCCCTGTGTTTTTGGACCCTGGCCCCGCCGATCTGCGTGAGAGGTGCCACCGAATTTCAGAAATGTTGTAAATGCTACTGTTTTTATTGACCGTTCACTGCAGATCTGCGAAAGGGGTGCCACCGAATTTCAGAAATGTGGCGTATCCTTTTGATTTTGGACCCTGACCCCGCCGATCTGCGTGAGGGGTGCCACCGAATTTCAGAAATGTGACACATCCCTTGTGTATTTGGACCCTGACCCCGCCGATCTGCGTCAGGGGTGCCACCGAATTTCAAAAATGTGGCGCATCCCTTGTGTTTTTGGACCCTGACCCCACCGATCTGCATGAGGAGTGCCACTGAATGTCAGAAATGTGACAAATCCCTTGTGTTTTTGGACCCTGACCCCGCCGATCTGCGTGAGGGGTGCCACCGAATTTCAGGAATGTGGCAAATCCCTTGTGTTTTTGGACCCTGACCCCGCCGATCTGCCTGAGGGGTGATACCGAATTTTCGAAAATAGCAAATCCCTTGTGTTTTTGGACCCTGACCCCGCCGATCTGCCTGAGGGGTGATACCGAATTTTAGAAAATAGCAAATCCCTGGTGTTTTTGGACCCTGACCCCGCCGACTTGCGTGAGGGGTGCCACCGGATTTCAGAAATGTCGCAAATTCCTTGTGTTTTTGGACCCTGACCCCGCCGATTTGCGCGAGGGGTGCAGCCGAATTTCAGAAATGTGGCACATCCCTTGTGTTTTTGATCCCTGACCCTGCCGATTTGCGTGAGGGGTGCCGCCGAGTTTTAGAACTGTAGCAAATCCTATATGTTTTTGGACCCTGACCCCGCCGATCTGCGTGAGGGGTGTCACTGAAGCTCAAACATGTGGCAAATCCCTTTTGTTTTTGGACCCTGACCCTGCGGATCTGCGTGAGGGGTGATAATTGTTGCCCCCCCAGAAATTGTGAGAAGCCTCCCAGGGCGTGGTAGTTCTGCTGGTTTGGGCTCCCTCCCCACGCGAGTTCATCAACAAGGAAGAGTAAGCAGCAAGAAGCAGAACTGTAACAGTGGAAACTGGAAGCTGCAACTGGCACAGGGAGCAGCACATTCCCGGCCTACAGCCTGGTGGCCCCGCAAGGTGCCCAGCGGATTATTCCCTCCCTTCGCCTACCCTTCTCCTTCTGCTGCCGCTGCTACCGCTACTGCTGCTACCGCCGCTGCTGTCGCTGCTGCCGATGTTGCTAACATGTTTGCGCTGCAGCTGATTGGACCACGCATGCTCTCAGCGTGCTTCGCTGTTGTTGGAAACGTCATGATGTGGTTCGCCATCTGAGTGATATATTCACCGGCGCTGCACCGTACTATTGCGAAGGCCTTACGGCTGGTGCTGCCGACCCTGAAGGGGGACGACGACGACGACGATGACGGCGGCGGAAACGACGACGACGCTGACGTGGGTCAGAGTTCTCACGGATGCTTCTCGGGGTCGCTTCGGAGTGCTCTCAGGGGGGCTCGGGGGTTCAGTTTTGGGGCCTCCTGGGAGCCTCTCGGGGCCGAGGGCTCGAAATGTCCGTCCAGGTCCCGCGTCTGGGCACCCTCTTAGAGCCGTGTTGAGGGCCTCTTGGGCCATCTAACGGCCCTCTTGTGTGGTTTTGGGGCCCTCTTGCAGGTCTCTTGTGCCGTCTTGGGGCGATCTTGGGGGCCCCTTGGGCCGTCTTGGAGCGCTGGGAAGCCGAAAAGGCGAGAACGCCAAAACATTTCAGCAACAATTGAGAGAAATCACAGGGTTTGTCTTGGGGACCTCTTGGGGCACCCGTGGCCCGTCCTGGGGCCTTTTGTGGCCTTGGGCCCCCCAGGGGCGGATGGTATTCTGACTTTAAACGGAGAAGGTTAAAGGCGAGGTATAAATCGAGCATGTACCGCTGCCGTGCCTGGCTCAAGCCGGGCCCGGCATAATATGTGACTGTGCCTCACCGAGGCGCACTACTTGCATCTGAGATCGGAAAACATCCTTTCCATTGACGATGCCCATCCTACTCTATACTCCAGATCCCATGCTTCGTCTCGCTCTCTTGCTCATGCGCTATGAGCCTAAGCCTGGGATATGGAAGCGCCTAAGGCGGACTGTATACCTAAGCTTACCAGCTTGTTTTCGACTTGGTAGCGGAGCTGGCTACACTCTCGTGTGGCTGGCTCTCGCTCTGATTCCAGTAATCCACGGCACAACTTGGTGGACTACTACCACGGTGGAATACCATGTTGCGCCGGCTCTGCGAGGAGCGGAGCCAGTCCGCGATCGAGCTAGCGGGGTCACCCGCGAACTCGAGACGCTTTCTCCTACTTCACTGCGCTACTTCACTCCTGACTTCCACCAGATGCCAATCGGCAACTCGATCGAGAACGTGGTCACCCTGCGGGGCTACCCGCAGCGGGGCCACCTGCATCCCGTGCCGGTCAGGCGCCTCACGGCTACCACGCCAGAGCCTGACAAACCACAGCCTAAACCAATCACCGAAGCCGAAATGCATATGCATTGGATCAAGATAACTATCTTCGGCATTCTATGGGTGATAATGGGATGTGCTGTGGGATACATGCGGCAGGGGATGGACGACACGCGTACTACTGGCCCTACATGGGACCCTGCCGGTACTACGCCTTTCCGCGAATACGTTCGCGAAGTACATGCATGGTTAAACGTAACGAGCGGCAATATGACACCACCACAACAAGCTGCAGCACTACAACGAGGCCTTCAGGGTCTGGCTCGTCGTATCGCCATGCAGGTCCCCTCCCAGATCATCAATTATGGTGTAACTGTCAATGGACAGCCAACGGATGCAGTAACCTACATACTGTACTTACTGAGCACCAAATTTGAAAATCTGGAAGATGAGCGCCAGCTCAACTCTGGCACGGCCCTTATCGACTTCCGCGTCGAAAGGGGCGAGCGAATCGACTCAGTATTAGCTCGATTCGAGATGGCCCGTGACGAGGCTAACTCTGTTGGCTTTGTCATCCCCAACTTTCAGATCCTAACGCTGATTCTCTTCAGAGCGTTAGGCGTTGGCGCGTCACGAGCCCAACACCTGCTTGAGCCCTTCAATCATCAGATGCCCCGAACACAAGCAGACTATGACAGGCTGCTGACCAGGATGAGGAACTACGGACATGTTGCCGAGCGCTCTCCTGGCAACATAGCGGGTATCTTCACAGGGCACCACTCACATGCAGGTGTCTATGCCACGACTGCGGGGTCACCCGCTGGTCCTGGCGAGCCAAATCCCTGGGCTGACCCAGCCGATATGCCCAACGAGGCCACTGCCCTTCTAGGGCAGACCGGCCAGGCATCGGCAGAGGCAGCTGAGGCGAACGCCTGGTCGAACTACTCGCCAGGCGCCGCCTACACTGCAAGCCCGCCCTCGGGCACAACCCTCTGGGGCCAAGCGGAGTCATCCGCTCAATGGTCTCAGCCACCCTCACCGTTTGAATCTGGCACTGACACAGATACTTCATCTGACGATGAGCACAATGGAATAGTCTCTGCTGGTAATGACTATCCAGCGGACGACACTCACCTTTCTGAACAGCAAAGGGCGGAAGCCGCCTTTATGGCTTATCGCAAATCAAAACGCCGTTGGAGGCGCTTTATGAAGAAACCAGTCAGAAAGGTGAGACGTGCAGTACGCCGACATTTCAAACAATTTGGAAAGGGTCGTGGTAAAGGGGGTCGCAGACGCCGTATGCATGGTAGGGGTATTACTGCTTTCCTCACGTCCTTAACTGATATGGCTTTTGAAGAAGTTCTTATCGGAGGCAAAGGTCGGGGTCACAGGCGGACCTCCGGTAAGGGAAAGGGGCGGAGGGGCAACCCTAGGGACGCTTCTGGTAATACTATGAAGTGTCATACATGCGGTAGCACAGAGCATTTGCGCGATCAATGCCCGAAGGGGAAAGGAAAGGGATCCGTACACTTGGCTCAAAATTCTTT